TTTTCACATTTTTTTTAAAACAGACTTTTCGTAATTAAACAAAATGTCTTGGGCTAATCGGGTAAGCCAAGATTGAAAAATAATAATTTTAATTTTATTTGTATTCGCTTTAGAAACTTATTTTTTGTTTATTTTATAAATACCCACTACTTTATTCAATACATAGCATTGTTTTATCGAATTAATCACTAGCTAATACCTGTTATCGTTAGTTGAAACTATTCCTTCACACAAAATACGCATGTTTCCAACGTGTAAACAAAGCAAAGGGAGAGATCGACCGAAGAAGACATGGATGGAGTGTGTGAATGACGATATCAGAGAGAGAGGAGTGAGTGTTGAACTGACCGGCTATCAGCAGAGAATGGAAGATAAAATTAGCTGTGCCGACCCCACCTATTGAGATAAAGTGGAGAAAAAGAAGAAAAAACAAAGAAAAAAAATCTTATATTTCAAACGAGCGGCAGAAACCTTCAAATACGTTCACTGATCCCGGAGCTATTTTTCAATTACTTCAAAATTGAATACATAATTATTCTTTTAGTACATCCGGCCTCGCCTCGCCTGAAATACAATGGACAGAAACTTGTTGGCGCTAGTTTCCAGTCTGACAGTTTCCTGTCTCTCTCTTGTCGTGGAAATGGAACAAACCCCCATTCACATTCGTTAAATGACTGTTTTAGCACAGGGAAACTGGAACATTCTGCCTGTTCGGTTTCATTCGTCGTTGCAGGGAAAATTGTTTTTCTGCGCGGTATTTTTACGATAATGACTTTACCGTTATAAAATATGACGGTTACTAGCACCCAGAGCGTACTAAAATTCTCGCCGGATCTTCTCAGTGAGTCGCGATTTCGACCCGATGGTAAATTCAGCGAAGAACTGATCTTGTTAGCGTAGACGTTAGCTAAGTCCCCAGCTGAGTCGCGTGAGTTCTACTATTTCAACGAAAACAGAATGGCCCCTCGAGGCTCCTGATAATTCATTACGTAGGACAACTACAACGGCACTCATAACTAATTTTATAATAAAACAAACGGCAAATATGATTTTACTACCTAAAAATATCATGTTAATTAACAAAAATAATTTTCCGTTTATTAATAAGAAATGACCACAGATCTTACATAATCAAAATATTTCTATAACTTGACCACAGACATAACACGAAATGTTAATCTAAATATTATGTCGAAATTTTGAGAGAAATTTCAGACAGAAGTTTACAATATTAATGAAAACATCTCCAAAGCTCTTTGAATCCATTCTACTTGAAGTTATGAGCGAAAGTCATTAGTTAATGAATGAGTGATTAAATAGTTGCAAACTAATCCGGATCCTAATCGGGATTTGGTAATAATTTGTTTTTAATGTGTAGATAGGTAGGTGAACGAGCTACCTGAATTTTTTTGTTACAAGAGCCCATAAAGTTTATTATGTGAATGCCGCCACCCATCTTAAAACATGAGGCCGTCGTGGCCTAAAAGATAAGACGCCCAGAGCATTCGTATCAAGCGATGCACCGGTGTTCGAATCTCGCAGGCAAGTACCAATTTTTCCAATGAAATACGTACTTAACAAATGTTTACGATTGACTTCCACAGTGAGGCAATAACATCGTGTAATAAAAATCAAATTTATAATTTGCGTAATTACTGGTGGTATATGACGTCTTGTGAGTCCACATGAGTAGGTACCACCGCCCTGCCTATTTCTGTCGTGAAGCAGTAATGCGTTTCGGTTTAAAGGGTGGGGCAGCCGTTGTTACTGTAAAAATCTATATTAAATAAAATATATATATTCTATCGAAGTTACCATCTTACGGAATCCCCGAGGGTCTCTGCAAGTGGATCGCTAGCTTTTTGGATGGGCGGAGCATCACGGTCGTTGTAGACGGTGACTGTTCTGATACCATGACCATCAACGCTGGCGTTCCACAAGGTTCGGTGCTCTCCCCCACGCTTTTCATCCTGTATATCAATGACATGCTGTCTATTGATGGCATGCATTGCTATGCGGATGACAGCACGGGGGATGCGCGATATATCGGCCATCAGAGTCTCTCTCGGAGCGTGGTGCAAGAGAGACGATCAAAACTTGTGTCTGAAGTGGAGAACTCTCTGGGGCGAGTCTCCGAATGGGGTGAATTGAACTTGGTTCAATTCAACCCGATAAAGACACAAGTTTGCGCGTTCACTGCGAAGAAGGACCCCTTTGTCATGGCGCCGCAATTCCAAGGAGTATCCCTGCAACCTTCCGAGAGTATCGGGNNNTTACTGAGTATTTTGATGGAAGATTTCAGGTTCAAATTATACAAAATATAATATTATTTGCTTTATATCTTTGAGTTACAACAGCGAATTAAACATTAGTCATCTAAAACAATGTCTTAGATTCTTTACTACAAAAGTATGTTAAGACTGTTAAGCCAATACTTTTGCTTTAATATGATAGCAACACTGAAAGAGAACTCACACATTCTTCATATTTTAATACTAAATAAAATACTGTATTTATTGTTTAATAAGGTTCATTTTCGCAGAAATCTATTTTATATTTTTTCTCTTTTTATTCTTAAATGGGCTATGTAGTGAGAATTTTCTTCTTATTAGACAGGCATTGGTGTAGAAAATAATAATTTGGATTGTTAAAATTTTAATAATGAAAAACTAAGATTTCCTAGATTGCTTTAATTTATTTTATTACACAATCTTACTGTTGCTATGAATATTACAAGATCTAATTGCTTCACTGACAATATAAGATTTAGTTTTTCTGTATCACAGAATTTAATCTATAACATTAAGCACTGAACTGTTTCTCAATCATTATTATTTTTTTCAAATTAATTGTGATTTGAATGTTGAAAGGAATTAATCTGACAATCTTCCGAAAAATATTGATAATTAATTAATGTCAAAGTTCTTTTTGTTTAGTAGTTGTAGTACATATAACATTATATTGGGACTGACTAAAAGCAATCGACACCGTTTAGCCTATTTTAATTTATTTAGTGGTGAACGAAGTATTGACGCCGATTGGCTTCATTGCATTATCTTTCAGTTATCCCGTCGAATACAATACTTCAATTATATCAGTAAAAACACTATGTTTGAATGCAAAAGTAATATTTGTAAGAACATTCCGAGAGATCTACTTAGAGAAAACATTCTATGAGGTTTGTAAACAACACCACTAGCTGAAACATCGATACGAGAAAAGTTGGTAATCTGCCGAACACAAATCGTATTTTAACGTCTAGAAAATAACTTAATACAGCACAGACACACTTACCGATTAATATAACAATTAATTCTTCGTTTAATAACTTATTTTAATACTGAATGTTTACAATAATTTTGAAAACAAGAGTTTTTCACACAAATTATTGACACTTATCATTAGGCATAGAGCATTTTTATTATAGTAGTAGTAGTTTCATTTTTTCAACTAGAATGACAAAGACATCAAACTATACAGCCTAATCTTTTGTATATTCAATTTTATTAAAAATGATATGACGCGAAATGAATTGAAGGTGATTAATTGAAAAAGATAAAGACACAAATAGGGATGAAATATAAACTGGGTTAAATAGTGGATATTTTCTGAAAATTTTTCAGTGGACTTTTTCAAAAACCTTGAAAAGCTACGTCTAGCGACTTTGTTTCATTTTCTTCTCCTTTCCTTTCACGATATTACGACTTTCACGATATTTAATAGTTAATAAACCACCGTTATTATACATTTAACTCCGAAGAAACACAAAATTAACAAAAAAGAACTATGTATTTGAATTTATGTAAGGTATACACAATTATTTTCTTTCAATTATCTTTCAATTGATCAAGCAAACGAAATGTAGTCAATGCGATATCGTTTGTAACAAAAGCCTAATAGTCCAGTCATTATAGGCCGAATTGGGTGAATACCTCGGAAAATGGACATACCCAGTATATTAACACGTAAAAATTTGTATTTCGGCTTCTTTTTTTTATTGCTTAGATGGGTGGACGAGCTCACAGCCCACCTGGTGTTAAGTGGTTACTGGAGTCTATAGACATCTACAACGTAAATGCGCCACCCACCTCGAGATATAAGTTCTGAGGACTCAAGTATAGTTAGAACGGCTGCCCCACCCTTCAAACCGAAACGCATTACTGCTTCACGGCAGAAATAGGCAGGGTGGTGGTACCCAACCCCGCGGACTCACAAGAGGTTCTACCACCAGTAATTACGCAAATCATAATTTTGCGGGTTCGATTTTTATACACGATGTTATTCCTTCACCGTGGAAGTCAATCGTGAACATTTGTTAAGTACGTATTTCATTAGAAAAATTGGTACCCGCCTGAGATTCGAACACCGGTGCATCGCTCAACGCGGATGCACCGGAGGTCTTATCCTTTAGGCTACGACGACTACATCATCAACGGCATCCTAAAACTAATTTCAAAATTCACATAATTGGATGGTCGCAACTTTTACAGCCAAGGGTCAAAGGTCACAGAAATTGATATTATTTTTTACATAAATTTCGTTTTCTATGGATTTTACCCTATTTATATTTATTATCATTATTGTAGAGAATTAAATATCAACAACTTTTCTATTTAAAGTTTTTTTATACCTTGAACTATTTTTGAAATAAAGGGCATAGAGCTCACAGTCTGAGAATTATATCTGAGATCAACTTGTAGACGGTAGTCCCGATCAAAAACTCATAATAGTAAGGTTATAATTTATTGCTAAATATATAATTTATTTATTTATTTACTTTTAGTTTAGTTTTAGTCAATGGGGAATTTAGCAGCTCCTACACTAAGAAGCTATTGCTATCTGTTCTTAAGATTGAAGGGTTTGAAAACGTTAAATTTTGGCAAAAAATGAACATGATCATTTCCTTAATACATTTTCTTTTTTTGGCGAAAACAATTGAAAATTTTAAAATCATTCTACGTAAATTGGTTCCCGTCAAAAATGTCAACTGTCACATTAAATCTAATTTCAACACATTAACAACTTTATGCAAAATAGAAGAAATTATATCCAAAATAAATACGTACCTATGTACAATCTGTTTTGTGATAAATATCTAACGAGATAACACTATTGTCACATGTAGTTTATCAGCAAATAAGAATTTAAACAAGAAGCTTACCGCGCAGTAATCTTTGAATTTCGTGTCTAAAAACCGAGAATGAGCGAACCAAGCCATATTCAAAATAAAATGGACTTCGGCTTGGCTAACGCAGGCGCACTAGGTAACATCGGGGAGGCTTCCAATGTTTCCAATTTCCGGAATCCTATAGCATCGACTTCGACCGAAGCGTACGGGCACAGTTTACCCCCTCTGCCTCCGCGACCCGAGATGGGGTATCCAACTGTTTCTCAAGGAATGACACAGCCGTACGGGGGTATGCAGTATGGGATGGGAAATTATGGTGGTTTCGGATATGGAGGATACGGCGGCGGTTATGGAATGGGAGGAATGGGTGCCATGGGCCTGAACGGTATGGCTCCTTATGGTGCATACAACCGTTACGGATCTCCACTGGGCTATGGAGACATTGAGAGCAGGTTAGACATTTATTTACTTTTATTATCAAAACACAACAAAGGAAAATCTCTATAAAGTAAATTTGATCATCCTAAAATTGCTGCACATAGAAATGTAGATAAGAAACTGACAAACACAAAGCTTAAAATGTTTACATGGAAGTAAATTCTGTCTACATACTACAAGAGTAGATTCTAATACTAGAGGAAATGATTTGACTATCTATTTTTTTCTTTGTGTTGCCTCTTCACCTCAACCTACATCCTCCTCCTTGCGTCGGTTTCCTCATTACTGAGGGTCGTGGTCATGGCCTTGAAACAGTTTAAATGTTTCTCTGTCCATGACTCTCTTGGGATGTAATTGTGGTGGGTTCCCATGTCCTTCCACATCAGTATTTCGAAGGGATTTAGTCCTTCACGGCAAACTGTTCCCGCTCCGGTCAACCTACATACAATTACATAAAGAAATTAAACATATTCAACAGATATCTTTTACTGTGGATACTGGAAACATACACAATAGATTAGAATAAATACAGCTAAATTCCAAATGGCAAACAAAACCAAATTAAGTACTGTCTGAGTAACAATCAAAACTGAATCAACTGTACAATAGTCAGCATCACTAACCACTTGACTAAAGAAGGAATGTGTGTAGCTTGATTTCCAAAAATGATATGAAGCTCCTGTATGTATTTACAGATTTATTCAATTGGCAGAGGAGAATTCAAGGCCAGCTTTTGACTCAATACAGAGCTTGGTCAGTGCTGTAGGCAGTATAGCTATGATGCTGGAGAACACCTTCTTTGCTTTGACTAGCTCATTTCGTGCTATATTAGGTAAGTACAGCAACACAATTGTTTGTAAATCGAATTCAGGTGTATTTATAATGCAACATCTGGTGTCACAAAAAAATATCATATCCATACACTGTTACAACTAATTTTTGAAAGTATAATCTTAAAATTTACCTAAATCACAGTGTTTCAAAGAATAATGTGGTTTTTCTTGTTGTATATATGATTATTTGGTAGTGGACTATATAATATAATCTGTTTTAAAAGTAAGTTAGTGTTGATATGGATTTTCTTTCATAACTACATATTTGATTTGTTTCCTTATTGATATTTGGTTGGGATCATTGTGCCTCCCTTATGTGTATCCTTTGAGTTATCAATCGAAAACAATCATTTTTAACAGGTGTCGCTGAAAACTTTGGTAGGTTGAGAACAGTATTTGCCCAGTTCTGGTCGACATTTGCAGTAATACGAACACTGAATTGGATTTTCAAGAAACTCCTTGTAATGCTTGGCATTAGATCTGAAACTGAATTTAAGGTAAGGTAATTTAAAATTAAAAGCCCATCTCAATCTCTGTCATACTCGATCTGTATTATAAAAAAATACAAAATTTAGCATGTTATATTCCTAATGTCCACGTGATGGCACTACATAGCTAAGTCTGCAAAAAGTATATACTTTAAAAGTATTTCGAAAATAGCCTGTACTTTGAAAAACTTTGTACATTTAAAAAATTCCACAACCTCTGAGTACCTTGAATTTTAAGTTATAACAATACAACCAGAAAATATCCAAGATTTAATTGATAGGTTGGTGTTTTAAACACATTATTTCAGTGAATTTATTCTTTTTGAGTTTAGTAAATTGTTATTCTACACTCAAAATTCTGCATTTTAAGACTGAGCTTTTTTTTTTATTGCTCTTGTAGGCAGACAAGTATACAGCCCAATAAAGACTACCAGTCTCAAATTATGTATTAGTACATAAAATCAAGAGCCAGTGAACAGACTTATCTTTATTATAGCAGATACATCCCCCATAGTCTGGGTGTTTGTAAACTTGTTGTACAATGATATATAGTCATAGTTTCAGATTCAGTATTCAGATGATAAAATATCTTTGAGCGGTATTCCATCCAAATTCGTTCAGGTATTTTTGCATGATTAACATACATTTATACTCATATTGATAAGATTCGTATAGAAGTACGGACATCAAAAACTAGCAGGCAAAGCTAATAAAAAAAAATTAAAAGAGAACACCAACTTTTACAAATTAATATACCTAACAGTATCAATATATGTGTATAGTGGAATCAATTAAATATGCATTATTAATGATAACTCAAGAACCATTGTTCATATCTGCATAAAATTTAAATGGGATCAGATGCCCACGTGAATCAGTTTTAGCAAAGAATCATTAGATGTTCACCTGAAAAAAGGTTCTGAGATAATAAAAAAAACAGGTGATGAGAACCTAATCATTTTTGAAGTCTGTAAAAAATAAACTACGTTATTAATTTAAAACTTATAATACAAATTGTTACCGCAACCGCGGCCGGCATTGTGGATAGATTATTTAAAAAAAAAACATATATTATTGAATTACAATATACAATGTTTTTAATCTTATCCGGTAACGCAAATAGAAAAACATTGCGATAATATTCTTATCAATTAAGAGAGAGAAGGAATCCTTGGGTCCACATGATGAAACATTATCGAGATTATTTATCGGAAACTACATTTTATTAGCTTCTAACAGATAACTCGACGAAATAAATTAATTATCTCTAAGTTTACGACAGCATGACAATATGTAGAAAAAAAATTATGATAATAATATACATATATGTAGTCATAAAAACAGGCGAATAGTATTTTTTTTGACAACGCTACATTCGAATAATACTCTTTTTATTCTATAGCCCTTGTTGGCAGACGAACTGATAGTGAGTGGTTACCGTCTCTCATGGACGTTAGGAATGCCAGGGGCAGAGCATAGCTCAATTCGGAAACGACTTGTATTTTATTTGTCTACACAAAGAAATGTATCCGGAATATGATGACCATGTCCTGTGACCATATCTTTTTTTTTTTGGTCTGTGGGCCGAGCCTCCTATCAGTTTCCCGCCCTAGAGGGCGCGCGGGCTATTTTTGATTGGTCCACAGATGATGGGAGCGGACTGATGGCCTTAATATATCCTATTTATTTTTCTTCTAAATAACACAGACCTATGACGTGTTCTTTGCGAAAAAATTAAAGTGTTTGTTGTCTTTTGATCACTGAGTTTCTCGCCGGATCTTCTCAGTGGGTCGCGTTTTCGATCCGGTGGTAGATTCTGCGAAGCACTGCTCTTGCTAGGGTCAGTGTTAGCAACTCTCCGGTTTGAGCTCCGTGAGCTCACCTACAAACGTTAGGGTGAAGCTGAAATAGCCTCTCAAGGCTATCAGCATAGGTAGGAAAAAAAAAAGTTGTCTTTACAGTTACAGTCTGGGTTTGTGATACGCATGTCGTATAGTAAAAAGGTCATTTTAAAGAAAAGCCGTGTCTGTATGTACGCGTAAGAAGTGAAACTTCTCTGCCATAATTAAATTATTGCCATACAGGGATAAAAGAATATTGTTACATAATTTTATATATAAATTTTCAAGCATAATGTTTATGATGGAAGTAAACTATGTGTTACGCATGCAACTACATACGTCACAACTTAAAAATGTCATCGTTTATCCAAACACGTGAAAAGAAGTCATCTTGAATTTTCTGTAATAATGTGTTCTCTTTTTTCGTACCTATGCTGATAGCCTTGAGAGGCTATTTTAGCTTCACCCTAACGTGTAGGTGAGCTCACGGGGCTCAAACTGGAGTGTTGCTAACACTGGGCCTAGCAAGAGCAGTGCTTCGCAAAATCTACCACCGGATCGGAAATGCGACCCACCGAGTAATGTGTGGTTTGCGTTCTTTGCAGGCGTGGGCGGAGGCGGTAGCGGCCACGCGAGGCGGAGACCAGGCCGCCGCCGAGCGAGCGCCCGGTTCGAGCTGGCCCATCCTCCTGTTCTTTGGAGTGATCGCCGCCGCCCCCTACATCGTGCTCAAAATGCTCAGCGGTCTCACGAGCACTATCAATGAGAACCGTAAGTGTTGAGCAAACTTTTATACTAGTGGTAGGTGAGTCCGCACGGATAGGTACCACCGCCCTGCCTATTTCTGCCGTGAAGCAGTAATGCGTTTCGGCTTGAAGGGTGGGGCAGCCGTTGTAACCATACTGAGACCTTAGAACTTATATCTCAAGGTGGATGGCGCATTTGCGCTGTAGATGTCTATGGGTTCCGGTAACCACTTAACACCAGGTAGGCCGTAAGCTCGTCCACCCATATAAGCAATAAAAAAAATAAAAAACAGAAGATCGTGAGCTCGTTCTCTCAGAAAACGCTACTGTCCATTCCCCGATGGAATCCTTTAATCGTATTTTACGACACCCACAAGAAGAAGAGGGGAGTTGCCTATCTAGGTAGGCAGGCAGACACAGCCGTGTGTTCATTTTAAGAAAAAATAACTATTCGGTTCCCTATTGTAATATGTAGTTTAATTTTATACGAATCACGTGTTTTTTGATCATTTAAAGTGTACAGATTAACAATTTTTTTTTAATTGTTTACAATATACTCTTTTCTATTGTTAGCTGGCCAAATGAAACGGCTTGTGAATGGTAAGTAACATTGGCAATAGGTGAATTGTAGATTCATGTCGGCTCCCAACGTGCCCTATGCTTTTAAGCTATTGTATAGCTGTTATCGCGGGCTTTGAGCGCGGCGACCGAATCAAGAAATTCCGTAACGAAAATAAAACCTAACACCCTCACTCCGCCTACCATGTAGCTCGTGTTCAACACATTCACACGTTGCGCTTGTGTAGTGTTTGTGAATAAGCGCGCGGCGTGACGTCGCACTGCATGCGCACCATGAAAAGTCTGCCCATCTCTCTCTCTCGCGGTCTAGCTTATAAGTGTGAAGGGACCAGTTAATGTTTTGCTTTCGTTAATGTTTATAAATATAGCGTGGTCTTGTTATTGTTTTAATATTAAATTATTAATGTCTAATTATAATTGCATAAGTTGATAAAAAATGCTATGCAATAGCTTTACCGCGGCAGTCCCCGAGTACCACACGTGTTTTTTATTTATTAATGACTAGACATACTAGTAAATTTGTGATATGATATATTTTCATTGAATACCAACTTCATTAAACGTTGAATCGATAGTGTAGTTATAGAAGTATAATTTTTCAAGTGTCTCGCTCTCTCCGCGGTCTATTCGTTAAAGTTAGAAAGAGACGCCTTCAGATTTACTTCAGACAGACAGATACTTCTTATTAGAAAACAAGGGAGGACTTCTCGTAAAGAAGTAACTTATGAATAACGTGAAAATAATAACATTTAATAAAAATATTATTTCTTTTGAATAGAAATAATAATATAAAAGCCTTTTTTAGAAATAATCAATTGCTCTGCTATAAATAAAATGTTTATTTTTTTCGATTTAAAGTTAGAATAACTGTAAAGAAATAGTGTTTAATATAATTAATTTCTATATTTGATTATTTCAATAGAAATCCATAAAATTATGCACTATTATGTTTATGTACCTACCATGTTATGCGATTTTCGATTTTATTAGTAACGCCTTAAGTGCGAAACGCAGTTTAATAAGGCTCATTTGTATCCCTCTATCGTTGGGCTAAGAGACACCTAAACTTATCTATCATTCAGAGTCAGTAATTACAATTTGATTTAATCTAGGAAAGAAATGAATATATATCTAAAACTAGCTGACCCGGCAGACTTCGTAGTGCCTCAATCGATAAATAAAAGACCTAAGCTTTTGTATAAAATAAACTTAACAAACAAAAGGAATCCGTCCGACGGGAGACACATCAAAGGAACACAACAAAATAGTTATTTTTGTTTAATTCCGAGCATTTTCATATTTATCTACCCTTAAACCTTCTCTGGACTTCCACAAATAATTCAAGACCGTAATTAGCCAAATCGGACCATTGGGCTATGAATCACTTTTATAGTCGCGTTCAGACAAAAAAAACAGTTCGGCTATTTTAATGTAACTAAAAAAACTATCGCCTTGCAGTGAACGATCCGAACACGTGGCAGGATCCACTCCGCGCTATAGCCCAATACGATTTCCAAGCGACGCGCGTCGGAGAGCTCAGCTTCCGCGCCAATCAGCTGCTCTCCATCGCGCCGCAACACCTCCAAACGCACCTGTGGAACACCGGCTGGCTAATGGCGACGACCGATCGGAAGGAAATCGGACTCGTGCCATTAAATTACATTAAGATTATGAAGTCACCAACGGACAGTGAATCGAAAACGGACGTTGACCCAAACGAGTTCGATAAGTTCTTCAAGAAGGACTAACCTCTTGCTGCGTACGACGGAAGTGAAGAATCACTTCGGGTAGGTAAAGTAAGGTAAATAGTAAGATAGTTTTATTCGTTCTACGTGAATATATTTTATCTTCTACCAATTGTTAGAGTTCATTATATACGTATATAAAGGATACCTTAAAAATTAATTTAATCTACTTTTATCGGTTTCATCTCGTGTTTACTATTTCCGACGTTTACGGGTTTCCGACGAGTGATTAATCGTGGATATTTAAATATTTTGCAGACTACCTTCTAATCGTCTATAAAAATACCGTAAAACCACCAATGTTAACAGAATTTTTTCTTAATGTACACACAGAACAGTAAACTTCGGTACTTTGGGGAATTCCCCGCTTGCCGATTATTATTATTGTGGCTGCGATTGTTAAGCCTGCAATAGTACATGTTGGCCGAGCGTCGCCGAGGAACGCCAATATAGACAGTATATATTATTATGGGTTCTCGAGTGGAGACCGCGCAGCGGAAAACATAACGTGGGACGTCCCCTGGCTAGATGGTGCGATGACCTCCGCACGGTGGCCGGCAAGAAGTGGATGAGGAGAGCCGCAGACCGGGCTCAGTGCTGTGGATTGGGAGAGGCCTATGTCCAGCAGTGGACGACTGTGGGCTGTTAATGATGAAAATGATGATGATGAATATTATTATGCAATGTCTTGCCATCGCTCGGTGTCGCTTGCCTAGTTAGCCGAGCAAAGTCAAGCGCCAACGTGTATAGAACTGATTTGGCGTAGCTTGTCACAACGTGCGGCACTTCGGAGCGTCGTTGGTTGGTTTTTGTGCGCAAATCAAAGGCGTTCGCGCGCACTTGGCCAATAGTGCCCACATGTTTGTCAGTGCGCTTTTACGCGGTTGGCGTCGGTCGTGTGTACGCGTACAAAATGTCACTTTCAACTGACGGAGCCCAACGTGTGGGCATCTCTTCAAAGTTCGTCTATATTGGCCATTTGCATTGGTTTTCGATGAACTTGCCGAACGTGTAGGCAGTAAGTAGCACTTGCCCTGTATTAATTTACCTACGCTCGCGTTGGCCTAAGCTCGACCAACATGTATTGCAGGTTTTAGTAATTTAATTTGGTCACCCACCTGGTTTTCGTTTATCTTTGTAATAAATTTGTAATCTATTAATAAATAATTTAGACATTTTGACAGTTGGACTCTGTTAAACAGATCGAATTTTAAGATATGATTCCCAACTTGCAGACTGTCGCACCGTAGCTAGCTGACAACCGAGACTGCTAGTTCGGAATCTTACCTTAACGTATTAGAAGTAATATACCTATATGAAATGAGATGTCACGACGTTTATGGGTTTAAAAAACCCACGATCTGTTTTGCTGCTTGTAATAATAATTGTTTTATGCATTTATAAAATGAACTTATAACATAATATAATATGTAATATAAATAAGCAATTTTGAAACTTATATGTAAATATTGAGAGGTGAAAGGCTATTCGGTTAAAGAGACGTTTTTGCAATTTTAAAGTTAAATATTTAGGAATAATATCATAAAAAAATTCAGAGGTGTCAAGGGACACCCGGATGGAACGAAGTTCCTTTCGATTAATTAGTGAAGGAATTGTAATTTTTTTTTAAGTTATAATAATAAATTACGGCATTATGAAGAAGAAAAAAACAATACTATGAACTAAATTACTATTGTTGAAACGCTATCTCGAGAAACTGTACTCATTACGCGGACCAATCGGATACGAGCAATGTCACGCGATAAGCGCCTACACGTTGGTCAGAATGACGGATCTAAAAAGTGTCGTGACAACTTTTCGTAAGAAGTTTTTCCGTCTAGCCCCCTTTCACAACGCGCGATAAGGAACTTCGTTCCAACAAAAAAAACTTTTTCAACTATTTGAATGGGGTACACTTAATTGAAGTTCTTCAATTAAGAATACCAAATTGTCGATGTTAATCACTACATAGTATAAAACAAAGTCGCTTTCTCTGTCCCTATGTATGCTTAAATCTTTAAAACTACGCAACGGATTTTGATGCGGTTTTTTTTAATAGCTAGAGTGATTGAAGAGGAAGGTTTATATGTATAATAACATCCGTTAAATAGTGAAGAAATCAATAATAAATTACAGTTTCCGAAGCGAAGCGAAGGCGGGTCGCTAGTACCAAATAAAACGGATCTTTAATTACCAATTAAATGCCGGGTATTAAGCGAAATGTCGCTTTAACCAAATAGCCTTTTACCACACGATGTCTAGTACACATACATGTATCAATCACTAGTGGTAGGATGTATTGAGTTCAAAAGAAAGGCGGTCTATTTCAGTGGTGAACCAACCACTCTTTCGTTGGAAAAGTGAGACAGCAATTATTTAATATTATAGTTGAGATTTCAAAGAAACAAACATATGCTTTCCACAAGGACGATAATTTAAAACCCAACTATTTTTACACGATAACTAAATATATTCTTACTTATGTCTCCCGAACCTCCTTCCTATCTAACTCCCTATTTTCAATATCTTCTCTCCAGTCATGAGCGGGCCCTACGTTCTCTCAATAGCCTATGAATTCGTTTAGTTATGTTCGCAACTCTTTCGTCGTGCAGTCTGTTCTGCTATGGAATGCGCTTCCTCTCGAGATCAGGACCATTACTAACCGCTGCGCGTTCAAGTTAAGGGTTCGGCGAATGTTGTTGGAAAAGTTAGCGGAATCGTCATGAAATTATTAAGATGAAGTTATTTGTTAAGTAATTTTATTAATATATTCCTCTTAATACTGTATAATCTATTATATGTATGTATGTGTGTATATATGTATGTATATGTATATGTGATTTTGTATATATATATATATATACATTTTTGTATATATTCGTAACTTAATATAAATTTCATTGCACCTACCACTATTTACTCTGCACTACCTTTGGTTGACTAGTAGATAATGCCTTAGGCATTAAGTCCACCAATGTAAATTTTACATGAAGTGTAATAAATAAATAAATAAATATTAATTAATTAATTTTGGTATCCAAACGCAGTGCTGATTGTTTTGTTGCGTATTATGTAATGGTGTTTTTTTTTTGATAATTATTGTCTGTTATTAATTGAAGGGATCAATGTTTGATTATAGCTAAGGAACGAACACTTATTTTAATATTTCCTCAGTTTGTATTGTACATTAAGTATTGTTCTAGTCATGAGTTGCTTGCTACACAACAGCTGTGAAGTCAATTCGGGGAGTCCGATAAATAAACAAAAGTTAGTTAGTTGAAACAAAAAATGATGGTTCGAAGACATTAGGCAATAGTATCATAATAATGCAGCGGAGGCCAATCTTGTCAACCAAAAGTGTCAAATATGGCTAACACACAATTGAAATTTATTCAGAAAGCAACTTTTTTTCACATGTATTTTTACATATAGCCTTGTGTATTTTCTTCGTATCTTACAAGACAAGATATTAAGTAACTAGCTTTTGTCCGCGACTCCGTCCGCGCGGAATAGTTACTTTGGCATAACGCAAAATTTTACCCCCCCACTTCATTTACGTAGAAAGTGAAAATATTTTTGAATTATAGAATGATAAGGAGCTATTTAAATCCCTATTTTGAAACATTATTTATTGGTGCTCCACTTGTATTGGTTTTACCGTGATTTTATATAGCCTATAGCCTTCCTCAATAAATGGGTTATCTAACACTGAAATATTTTTTCAAATCGGACCAGTAGTTCCTGAAATTAGCGTATTCAAACAAACAAACTCTTCAGCTTTATAATATTAGTATAGATAGTAGTATCCGTGACTGAAAATTTTGCGGAAGAGTCGAGGAGTCAGAGTCGCGGATTGCCGACCATTGTTTTAATGAGAAAACAAGTTGAAAACAAACGATATCGTTTTGAAGTACTTGTTCCCATTCGCTACAACTGTTTAATTGGGAATCATTTTCAATTCTACAAATCAATGTAGTGAATTGACAAGAGACCTGATTTCTATATAAGCGATATGATACTTCATTTGGTGTGCCTTCATTAACACGTTGATTGCCATGTAGATAACCGGTGCCCTACGGTAATTATGTCGATTTCTTTCTTCGATCTTCTTACTAAGACGCCGAAATATCTACAGAAGGCGCGCGAGTTCATGTCCATTCTGAGGAATGCGGTAGTGCTGTGACCTAGTTAATTATGGTAATTTTCGATATCGATAAGCGCGCGTCACAACCGTCAAGGACAACACTCGACGTCAGACAAATGCGGGGGGAGGCGGGCGAAGGTGGGGCGAGCTGTCCCCCGCGCGTCGCCTCTGGCCTCGATGGACATGAACTCGCGCGCATACAGTAGTAGACTCTCGGAAAGATGAATTCGAAGTTACTGAAAATTAGTCTATTTCTAAGAGACCTAAAAAATAAAACATACTTTAAAAACAAAAATAGACAAAGTTAGGCAATCCAGACGCTTAGTAAAAGAAATCGAAATAATTACTTCAGTGCGCCACGTAGGGCACCAGTGACCTACATGGCAGTCAACGTGTTAAAACACTAATATTATGACTAGAAGACCGGACTTTTCCTTCTTGACTTCAAGCTTTTTATAAATTCAGAGCATTCACTATTAATCGGTATTCATTTATAATAAAATTTTGAAACCGACATTTGTGGCCAGTGATGCCAAACCGAAGTATTGTGAACAATAATTGTGCTATTTAAAAGAAGTAAATTACAATTGATGATCATATTAATAATTGATAATACATCCATAATTTTGACTTATTTGAACAAATGATATTATATAATTTGTTTTTTAAGATAACTTGCTTTTCGTATTCCGTATTGCAATTTATTACACTTTTCAATTAGATATTAAAATATTACCGATAAAATCAAGAATTATTATATGGTGTTATTTTTGGTGAAGGCTTTTTTAATTGTACTTCTTAAAGTGAAAAAAAATGTGAATTGTTAAAACATAATTCAGTGATAATTAATATTAAGCTAGCTCTCTTAGACTCAATTTTAATATAATTTAATATTCTATTGTATATAGTGTATACTAGGTTTGTAGCGGGAAGGACTGAATTATTTTCCAATTAAATGTGATGAAAAAAGATGATTTTATTTGTTTACCTCTCTAAAACCTCCCACAGGGTTCTCGCAACAAATAAGCGACTTTTTAACGATCCTTGCAATTTTATCCTTGTCGAATGCTAATAATCTGGCTGGATACAGAAAACGACATTTACAAAATGTCATTGATTTCAATTGGTAATCAATGGCCGTAGTACAGCAATGTAGTACAAGGGATCGACCACTTCGATAAAGCGGCACGACACGAGAACCCTGTCATCGTGGCCGCCGGTAACTACATTCCCGATCCTGCGGAAAGAATGGAAAGCAGTCGACGTCGCCCCAAACACGTTATTTCGGATCCTCCCAATCCACTAACGGTACTTTTAGGAAAGTCAAGCACCGGTCACCGTTCTCGTCGAACCCGTCGCTTGCGACGAAGGGCTCGACGAGTAAATTAACCCACAGACACAGCCCACGGAGTTTCTCGCCGGATCTTTTCAGTAGTCGCGTTACCGATCCGGTGGTAGATTCTGCGAAGCACGGCTCTTGCTAGGGTTCGTGTTAGCAAAGTCGTCAGGTTTGAGCCCCGTGAGCTCACCTATTAGTTAAGGTTCCGCTGAAATAGCCTCTCAAGGCTATCATCAGCTTGTAAGGAAAAAAAAAAGACATCGAAAAGGCGATCTTAACAATGCCCTTCATCTCAAGGTGAGTGGCGGTTATGTTGTGATATGTGTTTATGAACTCCATTAGCTATTTAATACCAGGAGGGTCTTTATCTCTACAGCTCGACTAATATATTTGAAGGATTCAAAATGACCAAATGAGAAACAAATTTAGATTTTTATGTTTATTGTAAAGTCATAGGCTAGGTTTACAAATAAGGTTCGGGGAACTCGAAGGTAACTTCGCGTCCCGTTAGCTTCTTGTATACAGACTGGAAGGTGTCCACCTGAAAAAAAATAAACAATATTTAGGCATTAATTAATATATTCACTTTTTTAAGTACATACTACCTGGACAAGAAATTATTAAAGTGAACAAATGTAATGAAATATAAATAATAACATTGTTGGTAAGGACATATAGATTATTAAAGCTAATAAAAGAAAGCATTTGAAATGAAAACTATCATTCTATAAGTTACTTAATCCCACATATCGTTTCAGGAGTAAAATAGTTTTTGATTTTGATATGCAGTTTAACAAAAATTCTAATCATTATTTATGTTCTTAGAAAAATTTATAAGTTTAGTGAAAATCAATACCTACTATTAGTAAATTATTAACATTACTCACTTTATGTTCAATAGTAGTCTGTTGGTTTTTGTCTAAGTGCACCTTAATGAGCTGTGAGCCGTCCAACTTGACCCTGATGCGCTTGCCTACGATCTCAGCAGGGAAGACCAAGTCCTCGAGGATAGCATCGTACACAGAGGTCAGTGTCCTGCAGAATACAAAGGAAACAGAAAAACATTAGATATGGGTCTTTTGTACAGATTGAACATTTCCTGAAGCAGAATAGTAATACTATATTAATAATAAATGAATTAAAAAACTTTTCTTGACCCCCTACCAAGCAAAGGTCTACAGAGCAAAGGTACCTTCACTCCTGTATATACAGCCCCATACACAAGACTGTTGAATCATACATTTTAGAAGACGTCTGGTGCATTTGTATCTTGCAATGCAGCAGTGTTCGAATCCCGCAAACAAGTACGCAAACGAGTATAGTATGTAGTGATAGTAATGGCATAAGTACTTAAAGGAATAAATTTGAAGACAGATATCTGTTATAAATAGATCTTGATAATACAATTTGTTATTCCTCTCTTATTTCTCTACATGGTCTCTTTCTTGCTTGAGGTGCTTGAAAAAATTGTTGATTATGAGTTGTCTATTTTCCATTTTATTATGTACTAGTAAATGCCACATTTCATATTCCACGAGTTGTATTTTGGAATACTTGCATCGTTTTTTGGTATTCGTCTCACCTTTTTTCTAATCATTCCATAACCATGTGAACAACCTTCTGGTCTTAAGTGGTAACATTGAAGCTGATTTATGCATGAACAAAATATCACAATTAAGATGACATTGGATCCAGCATGTCTCTATCCACTGCAGGACAGGAGGGTATGGAGGACTATAGTCCAAGCAAAGTGCCCAATAAAAGTCACTATCCTCAGCACTAAGGAACACGATAGAAGGAGGTGGAAGATAATGCCACCACACATTTTGAGACAATGACTAAGTCTATGTATAACATAAATTCTATCCCACTGTTGAAATCTGAAAGCATTACTGTTTTGCAGCACATGTAGGGTAAATACCATACATTAAGCTCAGATCAATGACCAATCAAGTACTTTGTTAATAAGACATATCTAGTATTTAATTGATATTTCTTTCAATTGAAGATTTAAATGAAATATTGATTAATTTCCATTTCCTTTGTGAATTCTATATTAATAAGAGAAGTGCCAAACACTAACTTTAAGAGACATCTTTCAATATACAGGAACCAATAGCATGTGGTATTGGTCACAATTCCTTATTTAATTAATATTTCTTTCAATTGAAGATTTAAGTGAAATATTGATTCATTTCCATTTCCTTTGTGAATTCTATATTAATGAGAGAAGTGCCAAACACTAACTTTAGGAGACATCTTTCAATATACAGGAACCAATAGCATGTGGTATTGGTCACAATTCCTTAATATATTCCACAGATATTATCTACTGGATATTTTACAGTAAATCTACTTTACATAATAAAAATCAGTTGATGCATAGGGTGTCCAAGTAGAATTAGCTGTCTTGTTTTAAATTGTGTATTAGGAAAATAGTATTTTATTACAAACAACAATCATTTATGGTGAATTCAGCAAATACCATTTAGGATTGCAGTTTGAGGGGCAATTAATAGTATTCTCAAATACTCTGTACTGACATTCCAAAAGTTCAACAAACCTTGAGCGTGGCCTCTTTTGTTTGTTAGCAACACGAGTTTTGTGGCTGGGCTTAGGCAGGATCTTACGGTCTCCAACAAAGACTACATGTTTACCACTGAACTTCTTTTCGAGCTCACGGACAAGCCTGATCTGGATCTTCTGAAAGGCCTTCAGTTTAGGCATCGGCACATAGATGATGATCGACTGTAATTAATCAGAAACAAGGTTTTAGTTACTTAGTATACTTTTGACATTCCCAAATTTACTGTAAACTCAAACACCAATATCATTCGTTAATAATAAATGCTTTATCCCAAGGAGAATTGGCCACATTATAGGTGCAATTGAGTGACATGGTCATACAATTTTCAGGGGTTGAGTTTTAGCAAAATTAGTTTCAGATTAGCGGTCTTCTAAAAAATTCATAAATCATCTTGAAATTTGATCGAATCTATACAGTTCGTTCAATTCATTTGGTGATTGTTTATTCTTTGAGTATGTAGTCTTAACTAAGGATATTCTACTATGTTTATTAATTCATGTGTACCTTTAAAATTAGTACTGCATAGGTTAGGAAACAAAACTGTTAGAAATAAATATTGCATATTTGTTATATATGAGTGCATAACTTTTTTAATAAATTATATACCTTCTTATTGTGTAGTTCAATTTCTTTAGCTTTTGTAATGTAAAGCTCCCGAAGTTGGGCTTTGAGGTCGGAGTTGGTTTCGAGTTCGACCAGCGCCTGCGAGATCGAGGTCTCGAAGGAATCCGCCTCAGCACCGCTCGCTTTGATGATCTTCGTACTCATCTGTGAACGTATAACCACTGAATACAAATTCTCTCATTGACACTGTATAGGTTAGAAAATTGGCGCAAGTCTTGTGCTTTGAACTGTATATTACTGCACTTTTTAGCACCTCGGATGGTTCGTTTTAACCACAATTAAGGTATCACTCTATTGAACTCGGAGGAAAAAACTTTCTTTCACTTTCAAAAATCAAAACAACGTTGAGCACCAACATAGGCTTTTTAACACCACAAAATATCTGACTAATCTTTACCGTTCCAATGTAATAAATATTGCAATTACGTTTCTAGACCACTATTAAATCGGTTTAATACAATATTTAGCAATTTTACGCTGAAAAAACATTAAATTTTGGAAAAAAGTTAGTAAGACGGCTACCTTGACAACTTTACGGGAGGGAAAGAGATAGACTACCAGTGTTGCCATTAATTTTCTGAAAGAGCCATTAAACTTGCATTAATTTCCCGGAGCTTTGGTTTCTGCTTTGACGCGTTTAAAGCTACATACGTAATAATAGTATAAATGGATCAATCAATCTAACTTCAAGCTATTTAAAAATATGTCACTATTAATAAAAAAGATATATCACTAACAGTTTTTCTCAATTTTTTTCTCGGAACTGAAGAAAAAGTTTATTTTTACATACATAGTGACATACATAGTGACATACAAAGTGACATACATAGTGACATACATAGTTACATACATACTTTTGAGTGACATCCAAATTGAAATGAGTGATTTTGTAATCAATAACTTCTCCGTATTTTTTTAGTGTTATATTCGTGTGCACTGCACATATGGTTTTTTTTTGCGTTCATAATTTGTTTCACATTTATTTTATACATTTTGGTTTTTAATTTAATGTCCATATCATGGCACATATTGTTTTGAAAGAATCCTAACTCAGTTTGAAATCAAAAGAGTAAAACGAAAATTTTCCAGGTGTTGTTCCTGTCAAGTTAGCAAATAAGTTTTATAAAGACAGTTTCAGCATAATTGGAAAAGTAAAGTGTGGGCGTATGGTCCCTTTGCCTATTTCAACGAACAAACCATACGTACCATCTGTGTAAAATTAATCTTTTGGCATTTTCCTGAGCGCTAAAATGGACGTGAATTGAACTCATAATAAATTGCCACCATTTTACAAAGATATTTCATTTCACCTCAAACCTCATTTCTTATCTCACCGCATTTAATTAATTTCATTTAATTCCATACTGAATTCTACATAAATTCATTCTGTTCCAATGACAATTTAGAAGTCATCGTGGCCTAAAAGACTTGAACCCAAGCACGTTAATAATTAAAAAAATAGAGAAAAACATAAGCTGGCAGCTGGCTGTCAAGTGTCAAACTATTTTTAACATTGCAAACTGCAAAGAACAAATTCAAATTTCAAATTAGAGTTTGTAAACAGGACAGGATTAATTTTACTATGTTACTAGCTTTCATGCACACAGCATGCTTCCAACGATAGTTGATGTTGTGAGAATAATTTTAATACAGTACGGTTGCAACTTAAGACGCAGAGTACCTATTTAATCAAATTACTTATTTATACATATAAAATAAACAAACCTTGAAATTACAGTATTCAAAAGTTTCACGTTTTAGTATTTAGTAGATTATGTTTCGGTAGATTATTAATGAATGAAGATTGAAATCCAACATGCAAAGGTACGTGTAAGTTTTAAATTTATAATAGTTTTATTGAAAAATCTAACTAACGAGCTATACACTCGCTTTCTGTTAAATTTGTTTGAATAGTCTATGCAAGTAGAATACGAACTGGCTATTAAAAAGGCCGACATACCGCCATTAACTCGTTTCAAATATTTAGTTTTGTAGTAATTGCAATTTGATTTTTTGTTTTTTTTGGTTGGTTTGGTTTTGGTTCTATACAACAATTCTGCTGCTGCTACTATATAAATTTAGTAAGGTTATGGGTCGTCTACAAATGATCAGCTAGCTAGCCAGTTAAAAGAAATTAATTTTATCATTTGATTATAATAATTATGAGATTTTAATATAACTGCATTTTAATATAACTGCATTTGCTGAGAGTTGTAGATTATAGAAGCTTGAACTTATTATTTCTGATAAGGGATTTTAAATTTGAATTTTATGTGGTCTTGTGCTGTGTGAAGAGGTCTAGTGTTGTGATAGTAAAATTAGACTTTCTTCCGGCCCAGTGGTGTTGTTGATTCCATGCCTTAAAGGCACAAAGATCGGTCTCTATAGTAGTTTGTCAGTCTACTACACTTATGCATCAGACCATCTTGTGAAAATTGATGAAGCATCTGGGTATTGTCTTGTAAAAATAAAAACCGTTTCATACATATTTAAATTATCCAGGTTATGTTTAAGCTATCTAGGAAATTAGAGGATCATTATTGAACTGGTGATTGCTGATGCAACATCCAATACATACCAACAATAGGATGAAAAATTTGCATCCATTAATTTTTTATTAAACATTTTATATTATCAATTGATTCATGTGCCGTAGTCTTAGGTAAATTCAAAGAATGTCTGCTAGCCGGGGCCTTATAAAGTATTAACTTGCCAAAATATGTGTTCGTGCTGCTTAGCCTTACACACAGATAAATAAAAATACACTTAAATAGCAAATGAAACTCATGAAATATTCTAGACCCAGCAAATTACCACAATTGCACTGCTTAGCCAGGGTAAATTAGATCTGTTTATGTTTCAAATACTATAAGTAGGATTAAGCATAAACTATCATATAATATCATGTCATCATATCATATTTTGCAACACCTTATTACTATAAAACATTTGAATAATCTAAATGTGAAAAACGGTTTTATTCTTTTCCATGAAAGCTATGTTAGGAATCATCAAATATTTAAATAAGGCAGTACGTGGAGGCCATAATCACATAACTAAAACTTCTGTTAATGGTGAGATAGTCTATTTATTTGTTTATAATATGGATCTTTATGAAATTGTATATATACATCTATCTCACTACTACACAACTAAATATATTTTTTATTAAATAAACATTTATGGTACAACTAAAACCAAAAGTAATACAAGCATAAATATAAAATGAAATGTTCCTTGAATAACAATGCTAATCGAGATGTTGGGTACACAGATACAGATGACCAGCTCATGACACCTTTATTTGACAGTTATTTACCAATTGTTAGCGATGCGTTGAATATTTGGAGCTGCGGTTGGTATATTTGGTGTATGTTTGGTTGTGTGGTGGATTCGTTTCGTTAAGAGAAGTTAACAAAACTCTTAGCTTAGTTTTTAAATTAACAAGATTTGTAAGATGGAGTGCGCGGGATTCAACGAGAGGTGGGGGGGCCTCGGACCGGTGTCCTGAGGCGAGCGAAGTCAGTGCTGTTACCAAAGCAACGAACGCCGCGCGCTTCCTAACCACTAAAGTTTTGTCATCCGACGCCACTATAGCAAATAAATATTTTTTCTCACAAAAAACCTCTGTTAGTGCATTCCACAAACCTACGAACCAACATAAATTACACCAATATACCAGCTACTCATGAGCTGGTCATCTGTGATATTTGCAAAAAATATTATCTTTAGTTAGATAAATCATTATCAAAGAAGATCCTTTGACCTCAAATACGTCTATAAAGTGCCTGTGGGTTTCAATTGTACATTCAAAAGTTCTGTTGATGAGTTTGGTGCTTGAACAGCTGTGATTTCCTTCTTTTTTTTTGGTCAGGAGGAAATCGCCGGACTTCCACCCTCCACTGGGGATAGAGGGCGGAGCATGTCAGAGTCGAACTGACTAAAACCTCCTGTCGCTCAACAACCAACGTCCAAACCTCGCATGAGACAGAACTCATGAAGAGGCAAAGGGGGGAAAGTGAAGCGTTTAGTGCGGAGCACATCTCTCCCACCAGCCCTCTCGGTCGGCAGCTGTGATTTCCTAGGCTATAACATAAAAAGGCATAAAATCGTGTGTATAACCGATTTTTGAATAGACTATTCTGATAAGCTCAGTCGGCGAAACTTAAAGCACGGAATCTGAAATCGTCAATTTAATGTACATCAATCATAAATTACAAAGCGATGTCGCACGTTATCGCTCGTTACAAAATATCATAAGTTTAACAACTACGATACAAGATGATAAGAAGGCAATCTACGTGTAATCGAAATTTAGTGATGGGCCATTTTATATATTAAAAGTAGGGGAATATCCGAATAATCGTAAACCGTAAATATATAATACTAGCTGTACCCGTCCGCTTCGCTGGGCATCTAAAATTAACATTATTATTTCTCACCCCCGCAAAGATTCTCATCATTAACGCCCCCGTAACTGGTATAGGGAGTCCAACACAAATATAAGTATAAGCTTAACCATTAAGTACATGTATTTTCTACATGGATACCAAGTTTCAAGTCAGTTGGATGCATGGTTTAGTAGTTGTAACGGTCCGTAAAAACCACTGTAGATTTATATATTAGTATAGATATAGATTAAATTACGGAATTCACGCGCCGTCGCGATGAGATGTTGGGTGCAAGGCTTATCAGAATAAAAGTGGACTGTATTTATAACTGGTTTATTAATCGGATTAAAGTTTGTAAAGTTATACAGGACGTTACGTGTTTTTCATTACTGCACGTCGTTTTATCTGGAAAGTCCACGCGTTTCCTCCGCTTCCACCCCGGTGAGGAAAATAGAGTTGCTATGTTTCCAATGGTAATTTATCGATGGTATGTGCATCAAGATTTTTAAATTACTATTTAACACGTTCGCGTAGGCAACGTCTTACAACGTCGTGTTTTTAAAATTATGAAATGGCGCAACATCATATGAACGTCTTTGGACGTCTATTATATGGGCAAATTCCTATTGCGCATTTTCTTAGCGGCGCAACACATTCGATTTTCATAACCTACACCATCGCGTTCCCTAAAAAAAAAATCATAATAAGATGTACGTATTACGGCGTGACGTTTTTAGACGTTGCTAAACTTTGTATGGGAAAAAGGTGCGGCCACAGTAGCAATATTCAGAAATGAGGTTGCTCACGCGAACGCGTTAAGCTGGAAAGTCGAACGCGTCGAATTAAACATATCTGTTATATTTTTGTCTATCATAATATTAAATATACAGCGTGTTAATGACGTTACGAAACCATGTGGATAACGTTTTTGTTTAAATCAACTTCACTTCTCATATCCGAGGCAAACGGATATTTTTATACCAATTATCGTTCACTTCCTTCGGTCTGATTCTGATAAGAGCTCTCCGCAGTGACCTGTTGGACGCCGACTGCGATCAGCGTTCGAAAAAGTTTTTAACTGTTCATTGTAAATTGGATTAAGTAGTGACTCAAATATTCGGTAAATATCTTAACTTTGCTGGCGTTTTCTAGAAAATACTGAGCTACAGACATAGAGCAGTGCTGAGAAAATTGGGACGGTTCGGAAAGGTAGCTATTGGAATAATTTTTACCTCGGTCTGATTTCAACGAATAACAAACACGAGGGTTATATTTTAATATAAATCAATTGTCTCATCACTCGAGAACGGTTTGCTTACTTAGCTGATTAATTTTTAATTGTGTTCGTAATAATTGCAAAACGACAAGTTTCGCAAGAAAGATTTTGTTTTTGGAAAATCCCCTGATAATTTATCATACCGTTAGAGATGCGAAGCGTCTTTGAATTTGACTATTTTACAAATGCTAAATCCTAAATAGAATGCTCTTTTATTTAATTTTGTGTTGATAAACGATTAAACCAACGGGATATCATAATAATATTAGATGTATCTTCTTTACCAAAATAGTGGTGGTTTTTAGTGGTGGTATGGTTTAGATTGGTGGACCTCTTGTGAGTCCTCACGGGTAGGTACCACTTTCCTGCCTATTTCTGCCGTGAAGCAGTAATGCGTTTCGGTTTGAAGGGTGGGGCAGCCTTTGTAACTATACTGAGACCTTAGAACTTATATCTCAAGGTGGGGGCGGCATTTACGTTGTAGATGTCTATGGGCTCCGGTAACCACTTAACATCAGGTAGGCTGTGAACTCGTCCACCCATCTATGCAAAAAAAAAGAGACAATAAAGAGTCGAACTACTTTTAACAGCTTTTTGTGTCATAGGTACATGTTATATATCAATAATATATGTTATAAAATGAATATATTTTTCTCAAATTACAGTAGGTACACCGCTGTTTTAATTAAGTACAATTTTTTTTTAAAAAGACAAGTAAAAGGGAACTTTCCTACAAATTATAGATTATTTAAATGTTGTATACAACATGTAACATATTTAACGCACACCCTCAAACACCCCAATTAGACTTTAATAGTATAAACGCTATGCATACACCAAATATTATTTATATGTGCGTTAACATTGATTATTTGTGAAATTAGTTATTCCCATTTCGTGGAAATAAAATGGTCACCGATTCACACTCCGCTGCGCACGCACACACAGACACATGTACCTACTCGCCGCGCCCCTTGTTCAATGCACTTTAATGACCGTTTTCGTATTTGTTGTTTTATTTTAGATAATACTGCAATGTCACTTTTCACTTTTTCAAAGGCGGTTATTATCTTATTCTTTAGTTCTTCGGCACTTATTGTCTGTGTGTTATAAACTAGCGATTTAATTCGCCCCCACAAAAAAAAGTCGAGAGGCGT